CCGATAGCTCCTTAGTATCTCCTGTTTATCTTACAATTTGTGTACTCTTAAATAGTAATTTTTCACTGGCACCTTATCAAATGCTTTAACTCATGGCTAGTAGATAAATGGTAATTTTTTGAAAAAGTAATGCAGTAGGTCTCACTGGAGGAAGATAGTTCAATCAGCAGGACTTCAGTAAATCATTGCTACATTTGCCCCATTATCCATTCCATCTCCCTTCTGATGTCCTATTTCACAGATTGTTCTGAAGTCCTTTGCTACTCTTGAGGTCAAACAGTCATGCCTACAGTTGCAAAGATCACTTGTTATTTTTTATCTTTAGGATCTATGTTTCCTGTTTGACTATATGGCCTCACCATCATATGGGTATATATTACACTGACTACCGTATCTATAACTTCATCTATGAACCACTCCATAAGTCTTTGATAAACTGAAATAACTTAACAGTCCGTTTCCCTTTCTTTCACCAAAGATAAAGCAATTTCTATATTCTGTATCCTAATTTATATAGCCTAATTCCTGGCAAGATCATCGTCCCTCTTGAATGCCACATTAAAATATGTCGGGCCCTAAAGAATTAATTTTTTTTTTAATCTCCTTTTATTTTGTTCTAACTGGAACAGCTAAATTGCTTCTCGTTGTATCTTAGTATATGCCGAAGGTCTTGGTTAGCTTGATTCTACCCACAACCCCCCACACCCCCCATTTTGCTTTTGTTTTGTTTTGGCAGGTACTACTTCTTGTAACACCTACGTTTCTCAGCCCCTAAGGCATAGCGTCCTTGTCATCATTCTTTCTCATCCCCAGGCTCCTGTGATTTTTTTTTTGTTGGCTTCATGCTCTTTTCTAGTAATGTTTTCATGTAAATATTCATTCAGGGAACCTTTGGGCTCCCCCATCTTGTTTGGTAGTATAGATTCAGACATAATTACCACTTTTGACAAGATTCTAGACTGTTTTCTGTGTTCAAGCCCCAAGCTTTTCAGAGCAGTCAGCTTCACTTACTACTGCGGTTAGTTGATGGCCTGGTTTCGGCTGGGATAGAGTTAATTTTCTTCCTAGTAGCAGGCACAGTGCTGTGTTTTGGATTTAGTAGGAGAAGAATGTTGATAACACGCTGATGTTTTAGTCCTTGTGAAGTCCTGCTTATGCTAGTCAAGGACTTTCCAGCTTCCCATGCTCTGCCAGGTGCACAAGAAACGGGGAGGGGGCACAGCCAGAATAGTTGATCCAAACTGACCAAAGGGCTATTCCATACCATATGACGTCATGCTCAGTATAGAAACTGGGGGAAAGCTGGCTGGGGAGCAGCGATTGCTGCTCAGGGACAGGCTGGGTGTCGGTCAGCAGGTGGTGAGCAATTGCACTGTGTAGCACTTGCTTTGTATATGCTATAATAATGTATTATTATTTATTATTATTTTACTTTATTTCCATTATTAAATTGTTCTTATTTCAACCCACAAGTTTTCTCACTTTTACTCTTCCAATTCTCTCCCCCATCCCACCGGGGCAGGAGTGAGCAAGCGGCTGGGTGGTGCTCAGTCGCTGCCAGGGGTTAAACCACGACAGTCGATCACTTAGCTCTTTTGATGTTTGAGAACATTGACAGCAGACTTGCTTTTCCTTCTTCTTGGATTTATTTCAGACTACACGTATGATCACTGAATTCATGATACTCTTGCGTTGTTGTGTAATGCCTCCATTACTTATGAAAATAAGCTTAAAAGAGCATCAGTTATTCTTGTTTCAGTGTTTGTTAGAGAAATTTGACAGCTATAACATCCAGGAATAACTGGGTGCTACAATTTTGGTAACACTTGCTTTTCAGTTCATACCTGGGATGTAATTCTCCTGCAGCTGCCCGGTTCCCAGTGCTGTGTCTCTGTTTATAATTTTAGTGTATTTGCACCTAAGTCTGATTTCTGGTATTCTGTCGAAGTTTGTCAGCAACACACTAACAGTGTATACAGGCCTTGTAAAGGTCAGTGTCTTGATTTAAACAGATCTTAGCGGTGTTGACTTCTGCTTCGTAATGGCGTTTTTAGCTCACAGTGCCACCTCTCAACTCTTCCCTGATCAAAGCTCGTCTTTGAGGACCTGTACGCTAAATAGCATTGTTCTGTTTTTCTTCCTGCTGATGGTTAAAGTCTTCTATTCTTTCTCTGTTGTTTCATGTCCAAGTGCTGTGTAAGGGTCTTAGTAAAATACTCTTCACTTGTTCTACAGAGTTTAACAAACCTTTATCTTGCTCCCATTGATGGCAGTTTGTTACTCACAGGATTCCATAGATGAAGCTCAGACATACCTCTTACTCAGTTTACCAGGACTATACTGTTTAGAGATTTATTCTTGTAGTTTCTTTCCCTCTGCACTTGCTGCTTTTGAGGCTGTTACAGTATGTGACTATTTCCTGAGGCTACAGTCAAATTTTGAGCCTGCAAATGTGCATCTCTCCACTTCAGTCCTTAGCTTAGAGAAATTTTTAAAAAAGCTGAAATTATTGATTTAAGGGGAACATGAAGAACTCTAGTCATGTTCATTAGAAGATAGTCTTGAGTATTTAAATTTGCTTGTATTGATTTATTTTACATAAATCTGAAATCTTGTCACTGGTCCTGAGTTGCGCTTTTTTGTTTGTTTGGTTTTTACTTATCATTTACTCTACACTTGTCAGGGTTGGGTTTTGAGATAAGGTGAAAAACATGGCCACAGAATCATTGATTTTACAGGTGAGGGCAGGGGGAGAGCTTGAGCATTGTAACGATTCTGATCATGACAAACAATTAAACTGCATGTTCTGTGCTTAAAAGGTAAAGTAATGTTTGGCTCGGAAGAGGAGGCAGGGTGTAAAGGTGTGGGAAAAAACTTGCACTGTTTTCTTTTCAAATGTTGTAAATTTTAGTGCCTGGTGTCATAATTTCATTGGGAGTGGGAAGGAGGGTTGTACCTATATTTTTAAATACCCTCTGTCACCTGTAGTGTTTGTACTCTGCAGCTTCACTCTCCTGTTCCTTTCAGGTTATTTCTAGTTACTAACAACTACGTACTAGATCTCTTACAAGAAGCTTGTTTCCCTTTTGTAATAGGAGGCTCAGAAAACTGAAGTTTTCTCTTACCTTTCCTCCTCTGGTACTTTTCTAACATGATTTGATTAAGCAGAACCGTTGACCTAGCTCTTCAAGACACTTAAGGTATACTTAATTTTGAAAGAGGGATGAACTGTGTTTGGAAGCAGATGGAGGAAAGAATACAACTTCACAGAAACTTACCTTGAAGTGTTATAAGTGGCTTTTGTTTTTTTAAGATGGCATAGTTAAAAATCTCAATTTAACATTTCAGCTCTGCTGTGGTGTTTGCCAGCCTGCATAAATAAATGCATAAGCTAGGGAAAATGCATATCCTGCAGACTTTTTTCATCCTTTCTTTTCTTTAGGGGAAGGTAGTTCACCAAAGCCTGAACATTATGAACTCCTTTTCTCAGAAAGTGAAAATACAACACATACGCTCCCTGTCGGAAGATATAAGGTTTTATTATAAGAGGCTAAGAAGTAATAAAGAAGATTTACAGCCAGGGAAAAAATCAAAGGTTTGTTTATGCCTTATTTCTACGTGTTTACAAGTTCTCTCTTCATATATAGCATATGTTAAGTTTCTGTGGTCATCAGAAATCTTTTTTTTATTTTGTTCATTAGATTGACTGTGCTGTTTCTTAATTCATCTGCTCTCATCTGTTTTACAGATTGCAAATATTTATTTTGATCCTGGTTTACAATGTGGAGATCATTGTTATGTAGGATTGCCTTTTCTATCTAAATGTAAGTAATGTTCAACTTCATAATGAAAATCTTTTAAAAAAAAAAAAAAAAAAAGAAGTTTTCTCCGTAAGCAATGATTTTACATGAAGAGTTTAAAAAACACATTATTTCTTAAAGCGGAATCTAAAGTACAGCACAGTGTAGCAATGCAAGAAGATGCGTGGGATTCTGACTGGGATTTGCATGAGAACTTATTCAAAGAATGGACAGAAATAAGAGAGAACTCAAGCCATAGGTAAGTATTTTATCCCTGTTACTTTCTCAGGCCTTAAATCACTAGATAATTCTGTATTATGTGTGCTCTTATAAAATACAAGTTTTCTTCATATTGCAGTGCTCTTTGAGAGGGGGCCAAGGAGGAGTTATTTGGCCTTCTCTGCAAAACTTTTAAAGAGAACATTTGAAAAGTTAAACAGTAATAATTTCCTGAAGTCAAACACAACACTGAAAGTTACTATTCACTGGAATATGCTGCGGTTCTTGAAAAGATGGCAACAGCGAGGCAGTCTTTACTCTGCAGAAATTTCCAAAACCAGATTGTACTGTTTGTGCAGTATGCCTGCTTAATCTGTTTTAAAGTAGTAACCTTGCTATCCCTCTAAGATTTCATAAGGTTTTCTGTTGCTGCTATTCTGAGACTACTGCACGTCAGTGAATTTATCAAATTGGTATTTTTCCTTGAGATCTGCTAAATAGAAGGTGATTAATGATTGCTATTTTAATATTTAGAAAAGTCAAACTCTGTAGGCTGTTGTATACCTTTTAAACATCTGCCTTCCCATGCATAAAGTGATTTAATTTCCAAGAGACATAAGTTAGCGTTAACAGCAAGTACATGTGTCTTTTGTGATGATAGCATCCAGACTACCGTTTCAAAAGGTATGCATATTTGTGGAGAAACACTGTATGTATGACTGTATGTAGCTAAATAAAGTAACAAAAGCATACATCCTTTATCACTTCTTTGTTATAATGCTGATATATTAATAACTCCTGAACAAATTTGATCTAAAGGGAATCCTCTATTTAGCCACACCAGTAGCCTTCAAGTGTCCTATCACCTACAGTAAGAGGACAGTAAAGGAAAAGTCTATTAAAAACTACTTCTGAATAAGTAGCAGGTCTACCTAGAATATACAGTGTTTTAATATTATTTAATATAATATATAATCCAGAATATGCAATGCTTTTAAAGAGAGTTAAAATTAATGAGCTATCCAAGGTAGCATTCAGAAAAGGAGAAACCGCTCCTTCTGAAGACAGAGCAGTTCTGACTTGGGCATCTGGAGTCTCTCCAAAATGCTTTTCTAGGTTTGAAGTCTAGCGTTTCATCTGTTTTGCTGACTGGAGAACTCAAATGCTGTTAGTCTTGTTTCAGCTCATGGTGAAGAGCTTGTAGGAGAACAGGAATCAAGTCTGTCGCAGAGGCTGGTTAATAGCGAAGAACTTCATTCACTGGTGGAAATAGTAGCTGGTACTGAGTGTGACTAGTTCAGATTTGCTTTAGATCTGTAAGACAGGAGTGTAGGCACGTGGTCCACGTATCCATTGCAGCAAGGGTACACGTACAGATCTACTGTACGCTATACATGTGCAGGCAAAACATGTTTTCTGGATGGTGGATGTCTGGGTGTTGTATTGGAAACAGTCTGTAGCAGGACTGATATTTTTCCTGTCTACTGTTTATACCTTTGTGAATCATCAAATAGATTTTGGGTTATTTTTCTTACTGATCTGAATCTCGGTTACATTCTCAAAATTTCTTTCTGCCATCGTAAGAGCTAGGCACTTTCTAATGAAGGATAAAATTTGTGTCTCACTGTCCAGAGAGCAGTGATTTAAGAGAAATGCAAATACCAAAAGATTTGTGATGCAGTGCATAAGTCCTACCACATTTCTCTGCTCACCTTTACCTGTAAATAGGCCGTAACAGAACTTGGAATGGATGGATGTTGACAACAACGCTCAATAGAGAATGTTTTTAGAATCTTTGGGTTTGTCTCCTATAGCGTGTTTTGGTGGTTTCTGTTGTGCTTTTTAATAGCACTACACATGGGCAGAGCTCAATGGGTTTTTTTTTAATTGCATATAAATAAAATGTACTGTGCTATTTCTCAAACTAATGTTGTTTTCAGGGTACTTTTAAGCCCTCTTTTCACAGGCTTTTCCTCTTTCACTCCTGTAAAGTAAGTTTCATAACTGTTTCTACAGACTGAATGCTGTATTTGAAGTAGACACAGATCTTCAGAAGGATGTCCAGTTGAAAATTACAGCAGAAATGGCCTGGCCTTCCATACTCAGTTCACCACGCTATCTAAGCTTCCCTCTTACCAATACAAACAGTTCATCAGTAAGTTCTTTTGTTGATAGTATCATTTTGTAGGGACTGCATTTTAAGAGGTATTTCTGATTGGATTAATACTAATGTAAACTTCAAAAAAATTGTGTTTCTGAATAGGAAGAAGAAATTTTTCTAGAAAATCCAGCTGACGTTCCTGTGTATATTCAGTTCCTTCCTGTAGCTCTGTATTCGAACCCATCCGCCTTTGTTGATAAAATGTTAGAACGGTAAGTATTGGTTTAGAGTACTTAGGGCCTTCTCACTCTATAGCAAAATGCATTTTACGAAGACTGCATGCCGTATTTGGCAGCTGTGTTGGTTGTTACAGTGTTGGCCACTTCTAGAATTTGAATGATTAGGCCAGTTGAGAACTGCATCTAGGCTGATTGCCAGTGAATGCACATCTGTATTTTTTTGCTAAGCTAAAATGATGTTTACATTTCTTC